TTTTTTGTAATAAGTGGGTGCTGATCCATAATGGGGAGGTCAATGGAAGAATGGAGGAACTTTGGATTGGGCAGAGGGGAGTGAGAAGTGGGGAGGAGGTGTGTGTGTAGAAAAGATAGTGGAATGAGATGGACATAATTATCCTAAGTATTGCACAAATGGTGTGACTCTGCATCATGTACAAACAGAGAAATGAAAAGTTGTGCTCCATTTGTGTAAAAAATAATTTTAAAAAAACCCAAATTTGAATTGGTTAAAATAATTACTCCAAGACAATTATCAGCATATGGCAGAACCAACACCCTGAGCTAAACCTGGGGTTATACCCTGACAAGTCACTGGCTCTTAAGCAGAAAAAAAGGAAGGAAGAGTAGGAAAGAAAAAGAAGAAAACTGTTGAGGAAAATAACAAGATACAAAGAGCGAAACAGGGGGCAGAGAGTGGAGAGGGAGATGAGGATGCAAGTAGAGAAACTAGTGGAAACAGTGACCATCACATTAGATAATGTGGCAGGAAACTCTGCTCCAACACCCAGCTGCTTTACAAAAAAGAAGCGAAAAATCATCTTCTCAAACATCAAAACCTAGAAGATGGAAGGATGCCCACAGGATTATGAATACCGTAGAAGGAGAATAACTGAAATGGAAGGGGGTAAGGGAAGACATAAACGACATCCCAAAGAGAAGAGAGTGGCCTACTGGTGTTGTAGGAAGCACTGTGGAATGACACCTGCCAGTTAATGCACAACTAGGAGAATCTTCACACACCTGGCTTCATTAGTTCTGGACCCAAAAGTGGGGTGGTGGGGGGGGATTATTTACAATTATAGTTTTCTAAAATTAAAACTCAAAACAATACCTCTTGCTTCTAGTATTAATGCTCCACTGTTTTTTGTGGGGGTTTTTTATTTGTTTGTTTTGGGGGTGCTGGGGATTGAACCCAGGGTTTTTTTGCATACAAGGCAAGCACTCTACCAACTGAGCTACATCCCCAGCCCTACTTTTTTTCTTTTAATGGTGTTAAAAGCCTGCTTTGAAGTTGATTTGTAAACATTGTTTTATTAATTTGTTTCTTTTCACACAAATGGAGAGATGTTTAAATTGTTAAGCATGGAAACAGTAAAGCAGGTTAAGCCCCAGTGGGTTGATTTTCTGAGAAAAACAACCTTCCCACAGAGTATACTCAAGCTGAACAGGAAAGACTTCCCATTAAAAAAAAAAAAATCCAGCAAGGAAAGGCAAAAGGAACACACAAAGATCACACACACAACCTCCAAAAGTAAAGCTGACTCTCTAGTTCTATTGGACACATCACAGGCTTCAAAAGAGATTTTTGAAAAGAAGATCCGTCCAGTAGCTGTCCTCCCCAGGCTACAGCCTCCCAAGTGAAGACAGGAAAGCTGGAGTCAGGAGCAGACTGATGAGGGTGAGGATGACGATGCAAGCAGAGCTGCTGCATCTAGAGACTTGCTGGACCCCATCCTAAGGGCTCCGGAGTGGGTGCTGAGGATATGCAAGGTCCCACCAGCAGCCAGGAAAAGGAAATGCAGATGGGGTCAAAGAGATTCAACCTCTCCCCCAAAGAAGTCTTCTGCACAAGTAGGAAGTCAGACGTTAGGAAACAACCTTTCATTGTGAACAAAAGACAGATTGGGACAGTAGCAAGGCTAGTGTTTACATGTTCAGACCCATGCATCATGAAGAACGAGTGCATTCTGGCAAAATATAAAAGGCTCATAATGGGAGGGAGGGACTGGCAGTAGCACAGCATAGTAGGTAAGTGGCACCCGGAGACAGCGTAATGACTTTGCACCCTCCCTCCAGGCACACTGGTACCACCAGAATTTGCAGGGGTGGAGATCAGAACTGAAAGACATACTTCCTCTACCCACTTTTTGTCATGCTTTTGAGAGCTAGACTCTAGATCTTCTACGGATGTAGAAACTTATACAACCCTAGGACAATATTTCTCCAGGTAGAATAAATGAGTGTGAAAGCCTTCTGGATCCTTCATTTGAAATGTGTGAATGTGTTGTGAAAGCTATAAAGCACACTGACATTTAAACATTCAGAGCCACTTCCATTCTAAAACACGCTTCCTACCTAGCACCAAGAAAGCCGAACTAAAAAATGTCCCCAGGGATTGGCTTACTTCACTTAGCATGATATTCTCCAACTCCGTCCATTTACCTACAAATGTCATAATTTTATTCTCTTTCAATGCTGAGTAATATTCCATTGTGTATATATTCCACAGTTGCTTTATCCATTCATCTACTGAAGGGCATCTATGTTGGTTCCACAGTTTAGCTACTGTGAATTGAGATGCTATAAACATTGATGTGGCTGCGTTTTAAGTCCTTTGGGTATAGACTGAGGAGTGGGATAGCTGGGTCAAATGGTGGTTCCATTCCAAGTTTTCTAAGGAATCTCCATACTGCTTTCCAGAATGGTTGCATCAATTTGCAGACCCACCAGCAATGTATGAGTGTGCCTTTTCCCCCACATCCTCACCAACATTTATTTTTATCTGTATTCTTAATAACTGCCATTCTGACTGGCATGAGATAAAATCTTAGAGTAGTTTTGATTTGCATTTCTCTAATTTCTAGAGATATTGAACATTTTTCAAATATTCTTTGGTCAAATGTATATCTTCTTCTGAGAAGTGTTCAGCTCCTTAGCCCATTTGTTGATTGGGCTGTTTGGTTTTTTGGTATTACGTTTTTTGAGTTCTTTATATATCCTGGAGATTAGTGCTCTATCTGATCTCTATTTGCTCTATTTGCTCTATTTGCTCCCAAAATGTAGGCTCTCTATTCACCTCATTGATTGTTTCTTTTGCTGAGAAGAAGCTTTTTAGTTTTACTCCATCCTATTTATTAATTCTTGATTTTTGTTCTCTCTGATAAGTGGATGCTGATCCATAACAGGGAAGGGGGAGGCATTGGAAAAATGGAAGAACTTTGATTGAACAAAGGGGAGGGAGGGTGGGGAAGTTCATGGGGGCAGGAAAGATGGTGGAACGAGATGGACATCATTAGGTACATATCTGACTGCACATATGGTTTGACGCTATATCATGTACAATCATAGAAATGAAAATTTGTGCTGCAATTGTATACGATGAATCAAAATGCATTCTGCTGTCATATACACCTAATTAAAATAAATAAATGGAAAAATTTTGAATTTGGAAAAATGAATAACATTAAAAAAAAAAGCTAGAGGATGTCTTAAAAAAAAATTTAAATAAATAAATAATGTCCCCAGAGGAGAGAGGAGAAAGCTCCCCAAAAAGGAAACACCTAGGAGGAACACTGAAGCTAGTGGTGCCAGATCAGTAAGCAATTTAAGGATTTGGTGGCAACCTTTCAATAGTGTTTCATTTTTAACAGCAAATGTCTCCATGAGTACATTTAGCCCTAAAAAACATTGTTTTTAAACAGGCTCTCTTCTGAGCAGTTGAGAATGGAGCAGTATGAGCACAATTTGGAATATACTAAGCAAAACAAAGACATGTTAAAATTCTGTTTTGATCAATAAGTACAAGTTTTAAGTAGGAAAAAAGTAGGGTGGGGGTTGCTTTGTTTTTTCTTGTCTATACAGAAATACTGGTTTTTAGAAGCTGGTTTTCTTTCCTGAGGGAAAGCCACCTCCCACACTGGGTTTCTACAGGTAAAGAAACAGATTGTTTCCTTGAGAAAAATATTGTAGCACGCTGTGATCTCACATCTATCTGGCGCAACTCCAGTCCCTAAGAAGGCTCCACATCGAAAGCTCTTCCTAAGAAAGTGGTCCACTCTCACAATGCTGTCTGGGCTATTATGATGCAGGCTTTGTAGTTAGGGCAGATTCAGTTTGTGCCAGGCACAGGGCTCCAAGTACTAAAGAAGAACCTTGGAGATTATCTAGTCTGAGAGAGAAAAAAAATGACCTAGAAAAGCAAAGGAACCAGGCCAAAGTTCCACACTTGATGAAAACAGGTTTCTCTACAGTGGCATGACTGATTTATTTTACTACGAGACACTTCTTTGTGGTGGGGAGCTGTCCTTTGCATTGTGGGATGTATAGCTGCATCTCTGGTCAATAGCAATCTCCTTGTTCAATACTGATAAAAAATAAAATAAAGAAAGTCTCCAGATGTTGCCAAATGGCCTTGGGGAGGAGGCAGAGAGGACAAAACTCTCCCGGTTGAAAACCACTGGGTTTGAAACTGGTATGACCGGTAACTAATTTCTTCTGCCTCCCAACCTGGTGCTCTTTTCATTAACACCATGAATACTTGTTTGCAAATATATATTTTGAAACTACAGAGAAGAGATGAATGCATTAAGCCAATGCTAATGCTGATTACATGCCAAGTAGTGTATTAATGAACTCTTAAAAATGAATCTTGGAAATGTGAACTGACAGCATTTATTAACCTGTGTGTGCCTGACATGAATGTCAACACAAGGACTGGGGATGTAGCTCAGTGATAGAGCATTAGCCTAGCACGCACAGGGCCCTTGGTTCTATCCCCAGTACCAACAGAGAGTGAGAGAGTGACACAGACAGACAGGACAGACAGATAGACAGAGGAGATGAATGTAAACATGTATAGCACAGAGATCAACAAAAGGCCAAAACTATGGTATCTTGGGGTTGGGTAAGGTACAGTAATGTCACATTAAATATACCACAAGGAGAAGTCACTCTACAAATGGTAAACTTTGCTGCCAGACTTAGGCAAATTCACTACACATGGTACCTAAATAGGGAATCATCTTCTTAAAAAATAGAAACCAAAAGGGACCTCACTATCAAACCGTTTAATCATCTTATTGTAAGGACTTAATACTCAGTTGAAAGAGCTGAGGTTTCCTAAACTAGTGTGTCAGATTCCTGGTAACACAGATGAGAAAACCAGGTTCATGAATAAGTGGGACACACAGATTCTAGTACCAACAGCAGCCTCTGATTTCAGAGTTCCCGTTAGTTATGTTGTTTAGACATTACCTGTTTCTCTTTTTCCGGTGTTCTCTGTTAGAATTTTCGGATTCACTACCACTGCTTGTGTTACAGCGTGAGCGAGACCTGAAGACAAAATGAGAAGAGCAAAGGAGAAAACCCAGGTGTAAGACAAATGAAAAGTTTCAGAAAGGCTCATTTGGTTCTTCTGAACTAATTTTGCAGTCAAGTTACTGATCCAAACATAAAGAGCTACCTTATCCCTCTCCCAGTCAGTGCTTCTGACCTCAGTCAGACATCAGAACAAGCCTACAGCCCAGGGAAACAGCAAGACAGGGGAAAGATGGAAACAGATTAAGGCAAATGTCATCATGTTCCCAGAAAGGACCACAAAAACCAATCACTTCTAACAAAACTCTGCCATGGCAAAGCTGTGAGTCCCTGTGGTGACTAAATATGGAGGAAGAGTCTCACCCCTCCCTATCCCCTACACAAAGAGGCAGAGTTTATTTCCTCTGACTTTGAATTTCTATAGGTCCTGTGACTGATTTGTGAGGTGTGAAAGATACTCTGCCAATTCCAGAACTAGCCCTTAAAAGAACTGATTGCTTCTGCTTCCTCCCAGCCACCATCTAAAGAAGTCCAGGCCAGCCATGCAGACAGACCAGATAGAGAGGTCTTAGGCCTCAATCCTTCTGCCAAAATTTCAACATGAGACAAAAAGGGCTGCTAGACAACACAGCCTCTGCCACCATCAATCACAGCCTCATGAGACCCTGAGCAAGACCAACTAAAGAACTGCCTTCCATTGGACAGAATTAAACTGTACGTAAATATGTTATATAAATAAATACATGTGTGTGCATATAGCACACACATAAAGATATGGCTGTTGTTGCTTTAAACCACCAAGTTTTGGAATGATTTGTAAACTAGCAATACTTAACTGAGATAGCTCCTCTGAAACACAAAGGAGCAGGAAGAAAAAGAGAAATGTCTAAGGATAGAACAGAATGGATGACTGAGAACCAGCTGAAACCAGTTGGAGTTTTGAAAGTTAAAAAAAAAAAAAATCACATTCTTGCCTCAACTCTGAGCTAATCTGCTAGCCCTTCCCCACTCTCCCTGACTCTTCCATTTTTGCCCATTTTTGGTATTTTACCTCCTTCTTTGCTTTAGATCTGAGTCTTCACCACTGTTATGGGCTTTCCTATGGAAAACAAAAGAAGACATTAAAGAAAATAGAACATTACAATTGGCTAAGGAAAGCATATCAAGGCAGGCTTCATTGCAGTTAGTTCATGTCTGTTATACGTCTATTCACTTACCACACAGTTATGTCCCAGAAACACAACATACCACCCTCTGGCCTCGGGAAGCCAGAATTCCATAGGGAGCTACAGTCTACAAATAGCAACAAGTAGCTTATCTGTTAAGTTCCATTCAGCCAATGGTAGTGTAAGTCTGCAGTTTATAGGCCTGTAATCCTCTAAACCAATTTCTGCCATGGCCTAACTGATATCAACTCTTTTAGGATGACCTTGTTCAATATCCTGTCCTTCAAAGTCCTTCTACTGCTTCTCTAAACCTCTCCCACCACAACTCAGCCACGTACAGTATGGTTATACATTGGGCCACATCATCTGTAACCACCTCCAAACACTTTGCTCCCTGACCACAATCTCCTCTCCTTCCTGTTCACCACTTCCCATTGACGTTCAAGCAGCTCCAATGGGGCATCCTGGTTCAAGTGCAGGCTCCAAAGTCAAAACAAACTGAATGTGAATCCCATCTCTTCCACTGCCAAGTTGCGTGATTTAAACAAGTTACTTCTCTACTTAGTACCTCACTTTTAATAAACCTCCCATAAAAGGTTGTTATGAGGAGCAAATGAATTAAATGCACAGCAGGACCTGGGCCATTATAATACTGTTTACTCAACGATTTTCATTCTGCCCTTTCTTCCATCCTAGTAAGGCTGCCTATTGACCTTACCACTTTCCACCTTCACTTTTCTTCACTGTCCTCCTTATCCAACTTAGATTTCCTAGTCCCCCATTTCAATAACGTGCCTTTCACTGCATCTTTTTGGCAAAACATCACACATGGGTAAATCCAACTACCCAGGTTCTCTCCAAATAGTGAGCTGAGAAGTGCTGGAGGGAGTTCACAAGAAAGCATCTTACTACAACAGAAATCCAATTCATAAACCTCCAGGGGGGGCCCCAATGTGGTCCAGCAATCTCACCACCATTTTCAGACCCAAGGACTATGTTTCTGCAAAGCAGTATTAATTTCTTCTCTTGGACTCCTGGCCCATGGTACCTCTGCTTCAGCACATGGCTTTTCTTTCTCCTTCCAAAGGAAAAAGTGTCCATCGGATGGGACTCTTTCTTCTTCCTGCTACCAAATCTCAAAACTTATCAAAATATTTTAGTTATTTATGAGTCTATCCTGACAACTAAGATCAGTCCTTCCACCTTCTTATGGCAACTCATTGATACAATATTTTTCATTTTTCTAAAGGTAATAGTTTTTAAATTTTTTCTTTATTTCTTATATCATCTATTTCCTGTGAGTTCCCCTTCACTGCATTCCTTCCTTCCTCCCTCCCTCCCTCCCTCCCTTCCTCTCTCTCTCTGCATTTCATTTGTTTGTTTCAGTCGGCCTTTTAAGACAGAAGCCACCCTCATATGCAGTTCATAATGGCTCTCTCTTCCTATCTCAGCACTAAGCAATCAAGAGACCAGAGCCATCTAGATGGTGCCAAGCATGTTAACTGACCCCTCTGCTGTAATGTGAGGCAGCTTCTACCACTTCATTGGGGATCCTTTCAAAGTCAGGATCTGTAGGTATTTCTCGTGTACCTGTCTATTTTTTACAGTAGGATTTTCTCATCTCATGCTTGGGAGATAAAAGCTTAGCTTCTAGCATTCTGGGAATGAAGGAAAAAGGGTTAGAAATGCAGCCTGCTGCTTGGTCTCTCCATCTCCAAAACTAGCCTCCTTCACTGTTTCTCCACAGGACAGTAACTTTACAAGCACAAATGCAATCATGCTATCATACTCCCTTATAACAACTACTGGTCTAAGAATCAAACTCCTGAACAAGCCCAGATGGGCTATAAAGTCTGTCCCCATCTTTATCTCTGGACTCATCTATATTTTTATTCACTCTCAGAGTTTGAACAACACTGTCTTCTTTTCTTCTCATGAATGCTCTCTGATCCCTTCTACTACCTCTGGCTGGCATGATCTTTCCTTTCCTTTTGCTTTTATCTCAGTTTCTGGTTCACATGCCTAGCTTCAGGAAAACCTTACCCAACCCCCTTGATCCAGCAAACTTCTCTTAATAGTAATAGTTGTACAGGTATTTGATTTGTTAAAATCTACCATGCAGTTATGCTTATGATATATGTGCTTTTCTGTATGTATTCTAGGTTTCAACAAGATTTTCTTTTAATTCCTCTAAGCAAAAGGTAATACACCTTCACATAACTTATTAAAGTCACCATTGCACATTTTTTTGTATGATACATAAATTTCTCCTGTAACATCTGGTAAGCTCTCAAAGGACAAGAATTTTGTCAGTGTTGTTTAGCATACTACCCAGCATACTAATGGCACTCAATAAAGATTTTTAATGTAAAGATGGAAGTTGAGCTGTGCAAATACACTGTACTTCCAGAACATGTACTGGTTATCTTTTCCTAGAGCAGAAATGTTGAAACAAGCAGGCCTCAGGGTCTCCATAAACCCTGAAAACTATATGAAAATGTTTATATGTACCTTTTCCCTTAGGGACTGAACACAATGCTTTATCAGATTCTCAGAGGGTTCTTTGGCCACAAAAAAGTTAAGGACCACTATAGTAGACTTGGCCAAAATTTGATAGCCTACATCCAACTCATGACAAACAAGTGACAAATAAGAAATTTTGGTATCTTTTGCAAAACATATTTATCCTGGTATCCAAAGCAAAATAGAACTTCCTATTATTAACTGTAAATTCTTGAGATTCTTCCATGCTGATGACAAATCTGAGTTTTAAATGTCAGAGTTAATCCAGCAATGAAGGGATTTGTGCCCAGGAGTAAGGTAAATTTGTATGAAGATAAAACAAGACTAACAAGGACAGGGACATTTATAGGTCATTTACAGTGGAAAGAAACAGAAAACAATGCACTTTAGCTCTTCTATGCCAACATGCAGCAATGTCTGGTCTTCTCAAAATGAACATGCCCATCAAGAGATCTTTAAGTGACATGCAGAACAGACAGAAGTCTCTACGGATACTTAGGCAAAAAGATTCTCTTCTCAATAAATTTAAATGATCCTTTCCCAGGAATATATGCCAGTGAAAGGATCCTGTAACCACTTTCTTCAAATGCTTCTCTGTATTTCACAGGAAGCCAGCAGAAAACATAATCTCAGTATAGAAATCATTAAGTTTGGACTTGGGAATGTATATAGTCCATATAATTTCACACAATTTGAATTTTGATATACCTAAGCAAATCTTGGTAAATGTATTTTCAAATGCAGTAAAATCAAAATGACTATTTAGCATATATAATAATTTTATTTAGGGAGTGCTGACAAATTGTGCTAATAATTACAGATGAAAAGTATAAAAATCTACCCACTGAACAATAATAATACAGCGCAAAGTCCTTAATACATGTAGTCCTCTCCACCACTTAACGCCCTAACAACACACACACAAAAATTGTGCTTTAAAATGTTTTGTAATGATGTTGCTTTGGTTTTAAGAGTTGTACAAGTTGAACTAACTCTTCGTGTCTCAAGGAGAAAGTTTAGTAAGGGCAGGATGGAGCCTTATTTAAATGATTCATTATCCCCATCTTTTTCTGACCTACAGACCTGGATTCAAATTCCATATGTGCCACAAAAGACAAGCTACTGCCATTTCTCTCAGCCTGTTTTCTCATCTATGGAAAGGAGATGATAATGCTGGCCAGGTTTTTTCATTGGTAATCATTGCCATACTGACCCACTAATAACCTCCCCTTTTTGGTAAGACTGGAAACTAAGAAATTATATTTTCCTGGACTCCCTTGCCAGCTGGGTTCTAGTTGGAGAGGCACTCAGACAAGATTTGAAGGTAGGAAAAAAGGGAAGGTGATTTTGCTTCTAGCAGAAACTGTGGCATCCACTCCTACATTCCTGAAAAGTGGGTTCCAGAGCTTTCACTAGAGTGGTGGTGCCTCCAGCAATGTCAGCAGCAGTGCAGATTCAGGAAGGCGAGCTCAAAGGCAGAAACAGCTCTGGTTTCTGGACAATAACAACCCTTTCTCTTCTTGTATTCCACCAGTCCAGGGACAGCAACAGTGGCTAGATCGCTGGGTTATACCATTCTCCACCTTTTGTGCCTCAAATCCTACTCACATCTTTGTACCAATTCCCTGAATAATCCCTCTCTACTAGAAATACCTCATGACTGTATCAAAATGCCAGTTCCCAGACAGCTATTCTCAGAATCAAGTGAGATATACAGCAAACACTTTGCGATCTAGCTCCCTCTTGTCAATCCTACTCGGTGAAGGCCATGTAGACTCTTCTTCACCATCAAAGGGTTTGAGAGAAGTTGGACTTAACTTGGGAAAGCTGGGGAGCAAGAATGGGAAATCAACAGTAGAAGATATCAAAGGGGAGGATGAACAAGCCTGAACAAGGGCACAAGAGAAAGGAGGAGTCGGCTTCTAAACCCACAATGTGCATAAAAAGAGTCTTGATGGTTATCTGATATTATGACCTGAACTTTTAATAATTATCAAAGCCACTTATGTGACTTATGTGGGGTAGCCAAAGTAATTCCCCCTGAGAAGTGAAAGAAATTCCACTGGTATGTCATTTCTAGGGCTTCCTCTCTTGCGTCTGTCACATTACTCTGCCTGCTTTGCAGAGTCCAAAACTTACAAATGTATAAAGAATGTATAAAGATTAAGTGTACATACACAAGAAAAAAATCACATGAACGTTCTAACCTGCTAAGGAAAAGATAACAGGATTCATTTTCTCTGTGCTTTGAAAGGGTTTCACTGGTATTTATGTAATAATGTAAATCTGGAGAGCATAGCAGCCGGGCTTGGCTAAGAAACATGATAACTGTGGCTTTGTCCACCCAGATAGAAATATTTAATATATATTATTTATACTATAAAATATACATGTTACACATATCATTAGCATAGTACATATAAGACATTTTTAAAAATTTATTAATCAATTAAAATACAGAAAGCAAGTTCCCATTGATATTTCATCATTATTTCTCTAAAATTCTGGCTGTTTCAGATAAATGCTTCACCATCCCTAATTTGCTTTATCTCAGAAAAGAATAAACTTCCTGTTACCTTGAGAAGATGACCAGTAATGGCATTCTGAGAATCACCTGTTATAACAGCACACCCTGGGACCAAAGCGTTTGCTGAAAACTGCAGAGGAGCTGTGCTCAACTTACCTTCTCCTCATTGGCTGCAGAGAGTCATTGTCACTTCCACAGGAGGGGTTTCGACGCCGTGCATAGGGGAACTTTGGTGATTTAGTGCGGTCACTGGGAGAGTTGTAGAGCCCACTGGAGTGAAAGAGGAATGGTCAACATGTCTACTTGGAAGTTCTTACAAGAACTACACAGCAGGGGAAATTATCATTAAGGTGTCATTTAGAGTTTGCAGAATGTTATCTTACTCTAAACCATCCTAATGAACTTTCAGATGATTTCTTAACTTACATTAGTTTTCCCTTCTGTCTTTTCAGGAAAAAAGTTTTACATGAAGAGACATATTATTGTCATGTGTGGTGGCACACACCTGCAATCCCAGTGACCTGGGAGGCTGAGGCAGGAGGATCCCAAGTTCAAGGCCAGACTGGGCAACTTAGCAAAACTCTGTCTCAGAATTAAAATTTTAAGAAGGCCTGGGAATGTAGCTCAATGGTAGAGCCCCTGTGTGGGTCAATCCCCACTACTCACCCCTGCTCCCCCCAAACAAATCATACTATTGACTTCCACTTCAGAAATTCCCACCAGTCATGCTAACTTAGAAATCTCCCCAAGTGAGCAATCACATAGCGGTGGGATTCCTTTAGTCAGTGAGCTGAGATTGCTATCCCCTTTTGTTACTGTTCTTTATAAAAAGAATGAGTCCCTTTACCTCTGGGGACCATTTTCTTCCCACGGTGCTTGAGATTTGTTTCTTTGGGTATCAGGGCTGTTTTCATTCTTTACTTTCTTAAAGCTTTAATTTAAAAAAAAAATAGAAAATAAATTGACTAGAAAACAAAGGGAAGTAAATTCACATACTTATTTCTTTAGTAAAATTACTTAACAAATGCTAAGGAGTGTGTGTATGTGTGTTTGCTTGTTCATACCTGTGACTCATTCCAAAAAGAACATGAGGTACCTGCCTGAAAAATATATTTCTCCAGCAAGTTCCACTGGGCTTCCTCCCTGCTTCTAGTTTTACTGCTTTAGGTCAATAGAAGACAGGTCTATCATTTGTTAATAAACTTTCAAGTGTCCACATCAGGACAGGAAGCAAGGATAACAACAAAACCAAGGAGAGAAGCAAGCAGAGGAAGGAAACCTGGGCTGCCAGGCTTATGTGACTAGCGCCCTCTGTGCAACAGACTCCCAGGGAGTGCAGACTCCCTGGCTCTGAACTCAGGTTTGAATCTCTGGAGGTCAGTCAACTCTGGGCAGGCTCAGCCCTGGGCGGCCCAAACTGACCTTTCCTCAGCTTCCGCTAAATCTTGGCTTCATCCTTCCAGATCAGAATTACTTTCAAATGCTATTTCCTGACTTAGTATCATCTTTCTGCCCTAAGAAGGTAAATATAACTGAGTTGTTATTCAATCCTAACAAATTGTTTTAGAAACACATAGGAAGGAGACTCTTCAGAGGTCACCAGTTGGGGTGGAGGGATGTCACTCCTCCCTTCATCAGGAGTCTAAGCTCCAGAAAAAGGTAAAGCTTTTTAACTCCTAACTACTTTTAACCCTGGCTTTTTGAGAGATCCTAGAATAGGAATATAGTAGAGTTCATAATTCTGACAAGATCATTTCAAAAGGAAAAGAAATGAACTGGTACCCTAGCATACTATATCCATACAGGAATTAATAGACACCTATGAAATAATACATCCAACAAAGGCATATACGCCATAGTCTTGGTAGGTAGCAGGTACATTTTATATAGGAACAATATATTATTTTTATAAAGGTTTAAAAAAAATCTGAAGTTCAAATTCCCAAAGTAAAAGTTTACCTTTTGAAATGGGAAAAATTAGTAAATATGGTGACGACTGAATACAATAGTAGAAACTGTGTGTGCATTTAATAAATAAGAAAGAAAAAGCAAGAGGTGGGGAGTAGAAAAAAAAGGGAGATGAAAGAGGAATTGAGCGTAGACCGACATTAATAATAATAACGAAATCCCAGGTTAATTCCATTTTTTTCCCTAAGCTGTTTCACACCTGGAGCTTCAGTGGTAACTTGGAGCCCCCTCAGGTGTCAGTACTACCCCTAAGCAGGAATGCAGTCACAAAGGGGATTGAATTCTTTTATGTATGTTCTAAAAGACCCAGAATTTGATCTTCAGGGAAGATTACTGTTCTGATGCTGGACACACCTTAAGTATACCCTGTATGTGCAGAAGACATTGACTCCCTGTTCATAAGTGTGAGGTCAACCAGCAGAGACAGTAGATGGAAGTGTATCATTCAAAGAATCTGTCATTTCAGATGCTGGGATTGTGGCTCAGTGGTACAGCACTTGCCTAGCATGTATGAGATCCTGGGTTTGAGTCTCAGCACCACATATAAATAAAATAAAGGTTCATTTACAATATATATATATAT